CGTCATTAATTACCTTAAAGGTTGGCCTGTTTTTTTAATGCAATAACATTGTATCAAGGATTAATTATCTATGTGTAAAGTTATTTTTTTCCAAAAAAAAAAAAAATTTTATGGTTCGAACATCAAAGGGTTAAACTGATGATCTAATATCCGGGAAAATCCCAATTCAGGAATCGCTGAAGTGCCAAAGAGTCCGAATCTCGGACTTTGCACTGTATACTGTAATGCTTTTAAAGAGTTTCATTTACTGGATTTTTTTTTTAAAGAAAGAATCTTTTTAAAAAAGCAAAGTTGTTTATAATATTTTAAACAACCTATTTTGGTATATTGCACCAAAGTTTATCACTTCCTTGCTTCTCTAATCAAAAGTATAAATCTAATATTGAGTGCACTAATTTAAATGCATGGTACATGATCTAAATAAATATGTTGCAAAAACACCATTTTCTCAAAAATATAAGATAAATCATCAGATAAATAAATTTTTTATTCTATAAATAGATCATTTTGTAATGTGAAAAATACTCAATTTATAAAAATAATGGAAATATTGTCTCCATCTAGAGTGACAGATGTAGTAAACAAATTTAAATGATGAAGAAGAAATGAATAAAGAAAAATTTAAATGACAAAGAAGGAATATGAAGTAATATTGTTACGAAATGTACAGACGCGGTAAAATGGCTTCCCCACAAAGCAGTTTTGGGGTTACCATAAAATGGCAAGGGAAGGCAGGGTTGCTACATTTGGCGCAAAAGTGCCCATTTGGGGGCATTTGGCGACAAAACTGGCGATATTCCACGGACAGATGGAGAACCTTCTGGAACGAATTCTTTCCGGTTTAGCCCAGAATGTTCTCGAACACAGGCCAAAAGCTACATAAACCCTGCTGGTCCGCAGTCAGTCAGAGTGTGCTTCATCGAGAGGGCGAGTGAGTGTGCCTCGTCTAGATAGTATCGAGTTCGTGTCTCATCTAGCGAGTCAGTCCCTGCGGAGTCGATCAAGTTGACAGCCGGGCAGCGAGTATATTGCGGTTAGTGCATTGTCATGAGAATGTGCTGAGCTCCGGGAATGATTGAACCCAAGAGTGGGAGCTGTGCTCTGTGTGTCATCGAGTGCATCGCGAGTTGTAGCGTGGAGAGTCTCGAGAGTACGCGGAGTTCTGAGAACGACCAAGCAGAGTCGGGAGCTGTACTCTAGTGCTTTGCCATGAAGCTCTCTCCAGTATGATAGTCTGTTAATCTGGAGGCTGTGTCGCTGATCGTGTCAGCATGTTTATAGTAGTTCATCGACGACTGTAGAAATGTGTTTTGGAGCTGTCCTGATAATACTGGCCAATAAAGTGTGTTTCGATACTTCATCAAGTGTCGTCATTATTCACTCCAAATCTACGAACCTTGTATGAACATTAAGGAAGAAAATAACACAGCAACTGGTGTCAGGGAAAAAAAAAACGTAAGAACTGTTGTCAGGAAGAGGGAAAAAACGCAACAATATACTTTAAGTTTACTGACATGAAAATTTAGACTTGCTCTTGATACAATTAAAAAAGTTGAAAACAAATTTAAATGTAAAGTTCCTAGTTTTGAGAATGCAACAAACACGGCAAAAATTAGAAAATAATTTTCGACTTATAACTTATGGTTGTCAAACACATAAATTTATTTTACTGACCAAAGATTTAAAAATATCACGTTATAGAGCATGTTATACAGAGCAGTCATAAAATATTTCCAAAACCACCAGCTTGCCCAAGCTGAATTCAGTTAACAAAATTAAGAAAGTAATATACCATATGAAATATGTTAGAACTCAGTATGGAACTCCTGTGAAATCTATATAAAGATCTTACCAATTATTGTGGAAATTATGGAACAAATTCAAGATACTATAATAGACAAGAATAGTCAATCAGAAATTCTTAATATGGCAGCCAAATGAAATGTAGATCTATTACTTCATTGGAAGACATTTTCAAACACTTTAGACAAAATGCAGAAGGATAATAGCAGCATTGCTAAAGCTGTTAAAGTTTGGAAATTTCTTGAAAACAACTTTAAAAAAATATTGACAAAGCATGCAAAAAATTATTTAAAACATGATATGATTAAGCAATGTCATCAGCACTTTTTCATCACATACTATATCACCAAAATATAAAACTGAAGCCTTAACAGCAAGTGAAGAGGAAGTGGCATTGAAATTGGTTAAAGAAAAGTATGCAGACATTGCTTTGGTCGGCATTACATTCAAATTTATATTTCATGCTCACCATTTTTTAATAACCTTTCTGAAAATGAGGCATCCAAGTCAAAAGTCAATGGTAGAAATCAATAGCTCTTGTAAAAGAATACATAAGAGAAAAAGAACTGGATATAATTAAAATGTTAAGCACAGCAAAAGCTTCATCAGCACAGACTGAAAAATGTTTTCTACTATGGGATCATACACAATTAAGAAACCAGTAAATGGTTAAAAAAAGGCATCAAAACTTGTTTCCCCCACCCATTTTAAAGTACTGAATGCAAATAACAATAACGCAGATATAATGTGATACGCTGTTTTGAAAATAAGTGTCATTCCTATGGTTATATTTACTCATATTATTTAATTGGATACTTGCATGTTATCCCACTGGCCATTAAAGTTGGCAACTATTGAAGCACAAAATTTGGCAGAGATTTTGCCAATCATTCCTGAGGAATTCTAACCACACTTTTATTTTTAACTCATATATTCATCATATAATAAAACATTCATAAGTCTCTCTTCACAATTAACAAAACAGCTACTGCTGCAGAAGCATTCAATTTGCTTTGTTTAAGTGCTTCATAGAAAACTTTCAATGATTTCTATTATTTCATTAGGCTTTGTTTCTGGATAAGCCATGCATAATCAAATTTGTGACTGCACTATGGTTCATTTAGAGTTGACAGAATTAAATCAGGATAATGAAAAAGCAGAATAAATGAGGAAAAGAATGGGTTATACACCAATTTACTGGAACATCTGTTTAGAATGTTTGTGTACAAATTTTCTGCAGGTGAGTGTTCCAATCTATTATTGTTTTATTGGTTACATCCAGCTGTTCTTTTCCTCATTTAAGAGATGTTAATTCTCTGAGAAGCTCTAAATGAACTGAAGTGCAGTCACAAATATGATTCTGCATGCCTTATAAAGAATTGATTGACTATCAAGAATTATAAACACTATAATTACAAGTTCTTTTTATATGATTTGTTTGCTAGTACAGTCAAAAGTCGTTAATTCGGACATCCATAATCCGGAATGATCTATAATCCGGACCTCAAAGATACAAACTTTCTGCGCATGTGTAGCGTTGACGCATGCGAATAAGACCTTTACGGCTGTGAATATGCATGTGCGCATGCCCAAAATATATTTACGCATGCGCGTTTAATGTATAACGGAAGGTATAAGCTAAGCTAAAATTATCTAATTCAGTGAATGTTGCAGATTGCGTTGTTCCTTAATCTTCGAATTGGATCCGGCTTATTATTTTTTGCAGACTGTTAGAGCAATTTCATAAAAGTAAGTTTGAACATTCGATTATGTCAAATAGAATTTCCGATATATATTTACTAATATGTAAAGGATCTACAAAGCAAAAGTATGTTTCAAAGTCCATCAAACAAAAAGTGGAATTGCTGCAAAAAATGGATAAAGGCATATCCTTTGTTTATCTAACCATTCCGAAATCTGTTTATCAATTTTACGCTGCTCTGCGGTGGGGCGGCGCGCAATGAATTGGAAGTTGATCTGTCAGCACTATCCTTATCTTCAGGGCAGATGTTTTTATCTTATTTGGCTTATAATTCCTTACTAAATGTATTTCATCTCGATGTACTTGTCTTTGATATGATTTAAATCAAATTCCTCGTCATTATAATTCGCTTCCGATAGCGAAGAAAGTAAAGTAAACAAATAAATATTAAGCTTTTTTTGGTGTGTGTGTGTAAATTTTGATACCCTTTAGATCATAATCGTTCTTTATTTCATAAATTACAGTTTCATATTTTTAATTTTATAATTTCTGCATGCCATCTTACCAGATTTAAACTGATGATCTATAATCCGGAAAAATCGATAATCCGGAATCGTCGAAGTCCCGACGAGTCCGGATTAACGACTTTTGACTGTATATATGTGGATAAAAGTCTATACTTAAATGGTTAGAGTAAATTTGCAAGTTACTATTGCCAAAAAGCTGCCAAGATATTTTCTTTTTATTCTACTAGTTAATAAAATTATGTATAATTTATATTATTTTTAACTAATAGTTAGTATATTAATTTACATGTAAAGTATGTATCACGCTTCTTAATATCATCTATTTCGATGTTTAATTACTTTGAAAACCATAAGTGCATGATAACCATTAAATAAGTGAAAATAAGGAAAAAAAATTTTTAATTGCAATTTAAATTTTAAAAAACACTTTTTAATACATCTCTGTTATGGGCAAACCTAATGCTGATGGGGGAAAAAAGTACAGTATCTTATAAAATAATGCATAGTTTACTATGGAAGGTTGGTTTGGTTTATTTGTTTATGGTAAAGCAATGCAAGGCTATCTGACTGAAAGGAGGGCTGTCGAAAGAGAACTGGCTCATATGCATATAACATATGGGAAAATGCCAATTTCTAAACTATGTGCAACAGACAAAAACAATGAACTCAAAAATTAGTTACAAATGTAGAAAGCAAACTGCAGTCAACTCTAAAAAGTCTGCTAATTAAAAATAATAGAAAAGTAAATACTTCGATTTTATTAAACTAAACCAAACTTGAGTAGTTAGATTCCCACATTTTTATTGAATCAGTTTTCAAATTAAAATGCTTTAAACAATTTATAATCTAAGCTGCAAATACATCAGATATAAAGAACTAAAATGCAAATGTATGCATAATATTAATGACAAGTTAAAACACATTTAAATAAAAGAAGTTCATAATAATAAAACATAATCTAAATTTACCTTGCATCTGCCTGTAAAAATATGGACATATTTTCTGTATTAGCTGAGCTGCCTAAACAGCAAACAACTTCTCCATATTCTTGCATTATACATATCATTTCCCTAGTTGCATCTGCAGTACAATCAGTAAATAATGATACTTGGAGAGGTACATTATCAACATTTTCTATATGAGGTCTAATATTTTCTGTTCCTTTAGGTAATTTTGCCTGCAATAAGAAATCCTTTAAATCTTTCGAGGAGAAATTAGCATATAAAAATTGAAAATAATAATGTTAATGTTAAAAAAATAATGTTAAATTTTAAAAAAAATCTTAGTTTTTTCTTTTTTTATAATATATCTAGAAAATTGAAGGGATAAAAGAAAAAAAAATTCTGAAATAATTCCAAATGAATTTATAATACTGTACAATATAAAATCTAAACTCAAATGACTCGGTTTAAAGAATGCTATATATTAGATATAACAATTTTTACTCTGTCGGGGGGAGGGATCTGAAAAGTTAGTTTTGAAGGATGTTTTGTCTCTTGAAATGCAAGCAATCCTTTTAAATAACATTTATGCCAGACAACTTATATTCTTTAAGAGGCTATTAGAATTAAAAGTATAAAAGTTACCCTGTTGGACATATCAAAAGTAACAGGTGCGCTTTGATCTGTGCTTTCTGTCACATGGCTTGGAGAATGGGATAGGTTGCCTTCATCAATAACAAATATATCTTGAACAGATGACACAGACTTTTTATTTGAAAATTCTTGATCACCACTGTGGAATAGATAATCGGTTCCTAAATGTATTCTGAAACAGCATTTATAGGCTATGATTTAAAAAACAAATTCCAGCCAATAATACAAACATGAAAGAATCATTAGTTATTTTATGTTAATTTTTAACTTTAAGTTATACCTCAACTGAAGAATATCATTTCATTCAGTATTTTATAAGCACTTCAAAAACACAGAAATTTACAAAAGCTTGCTGCAAACCATTAAGAATTTGAATAATATAATAATTTCAGTTTTTATAAAAGAATTATACAAATCATTTTTCAAAATTTGAATCCTATCAGATTACTAGATTATATGGAAAAACTACCGCATAACAATTTTGAACATCGTACAAATAATTAAATATAATAAAAATGGAATATAAATGTCACACACTTCAGTAAGAATAAAACTATATACAAAAATAATTTATTAAGAAAGCTAATGATAGCAGATGCAATTTAGTTAAATTTTGCATCATGAAAATGGGGAAAATGCCAAATCCAGTAGACATTGTAAACAATTCAACCAAAGTTCTTAAACAATCTGTTATAAGAATATGCAACATGAATAGCCAAAATTCAAGACAATATCAGCCACATGTTAGAATTCAGGAAGCTTCATGAGCCACAATTAGATACTCTTATAATCTCTTATAATCACTATCTTTTATTTACATAATTTTAAAAGACCTCATGAAAAGAAAAATTTTAAGTAAATTAATGATAATGTCACATGTTTTATGTAGTTAATGTGGTTGCATATTATTATAAATAAGAACTTTAATTTTTCTTGTTGTATATTCAGAAAAAATTGTTTCTATGATATGCTATACTAATTATAATTGGATATTTAAAATGCTTTATATTTGGTTCACATTTTGACAGTTTCTAGTTTTAGAAAAGATTCCAGTTCTAACATATCAAATAAGAAGAGATTGCAATCTATTGATTTTTCTGATTTTTATTTTTATTTTGTTAAAAAAGCATACACAAATTACATACACACAATAATATAATTTCTTATTTTACCTAGAATTCTTAAGGAATAGGAAAAAAAAATATAGGATGGTGAAATAAACAATCATATGGCATTATTTTACTCTTTCTATCTGCTGACAATTTTAGAGGGGAAAAAGAAAAAAACAATACTTATAAAAAGTAAAAAAAAAAAATATACACATTAATCTCTTGGCAAATGACATTAGCATTACCTATTAGATATGTAAACTGATGCAGAATCTTCACTTTTGGAATGCAGACTGAGTTCCTCATGTTTCACAGTATTTGACTCCAAATTTAAAACACTTGGAGCACTAGCATGACGAGTTGGAACCTATAACACATTTCATGACTTAACATGCTACAGAAATAATTTTCAGAAGTTAAATGACGAATATGAAATAAGATTACTTTTATTTGACATTATGTATGAAAAGCACGCAGTCAGTCATGAAAATTTTAACAAAAGGTTTGTATTTTATCTCATAAAACAGAGTACCAAATTCTAATTAAAGTCTTGCTTTTTATAAAAACAGAAAATACAAATAACTGAACATAGGCAAAAAACATTTTAAAACAAAAAAAAGTCTCAAATAAAAATATATAAAGTTAACAAATATGACAGAAATAAAATTAAATAATGAGCAAATTTAATTATGTAGCACAATTTATGCCAGGAGTTCTCAAATATTACTTTTCACATCATTTAATTTTCTATTAGGTTCTAAAACGACGCAATTATTTTTTAATTCCCCTCCTATACTGTTTAGGATTAAATTCTCTTAAAGAATTCCCATTAAAGGATATTGTCATTAAATCTGAAATATACTGCACAGTCAAAGATCTTCCTCTTGGGGAAATATTGTTCATCAAGTTGGAAACTCATTCAGCTTTAACACCATTAATAGCAATAACCTCGATTACATTAACATTCATTACACTGTAGAGACATTAGGATTTTTTGGAAGCCAGAAAAGATGAAAAATAGCAAATGCCTTCACTGGGAATTGAACCACGGACCTCTGGAATACATGCAGAACCACTACACCACGAAGGACACTAGGAAAGTGGGAGAAATACCTTATATACTCCCCTTTTTAAAGGGCGACTAGGGTTTTAGGAGACCTAGTCGCCAAATCCTGGGTGCAGAGAATCATCATCCACAACCCTTTTAGTTCAGGCGCCACTTGTAAAGTCATTAGGTATTTTTTTGGAAGCAGACAAGATGACAAATAGCAAACGTCTTCACCGGGAATCGAACCACGGACCTCTGGAATACCGGCCCCAGCGTACAGAACCACTATACCACGAAGAATGCTAGGAAAGTGGGAGAAAAACCTTATAACACTGTTAGAAGTACTATATTGCTTTCTAGCTCACAAAATACTGATTCATTTTGTTCATGCTTGAATATGAAATGTAATGAATTGGTCTTTTTTCCTTATTTCTAACAGCATGTTACTTTTTTCAAATTCCATGTTTCTGAATAATAAACATAAAAAATTACTTTTAATTCTCCACTGTTAAATACTTCATCATTTCCATCTGGTTATCATGTAATATGGGATCTACAACTTTTAGTTAGTAAGCTATTTTTTAATATGGCAGCACTAAAATTGGTTATTGTTTAACAATTTTTCCCCCACCATTTTATTTCCTGTTTCAATATTCATGTATTCCAAAATTTTGTAAGGCTTAGTTCCACATACACCTTAGCACAGTTTGAAAGAACTTTTATGTTTATAGTTTTTCTGAAGAAAATAATACAGTCGAATTAAAAGCTGTTCAATCTTTTAAGTCTATGAGCTGATTTGAGGCATTTTGAGCTGCTATGCAAAGAAAATAGCAAAAAATCTTTGCAGAAGTATACAAGGTTGAATTTACAATACCTACAACAACTCTCTTTACACTGTGCATCATGGTGACTGCTTTTTCACAAATGAAGGCAATACAATTATACTGAGTAAAACTGATGACTATACTGAGTAAAACTGATGACTAATTACTGAGTAAAACTGATGTCCATGGCACTGAAAGAACTTTGATCAGTATTATCAGTGGATTCCAACAATAACAGTTATGATGAGCATATTCAAGCCTTCATTGCTGTCATAGTATGAAACAATAACAGGATACAATTTTACCATACTCATGCTGTAATCTGAGCTATCATCAGTAGCTAACGCAAATGACACATTTTGTAACATACACATATTTGATTCATGTAGAATCTACCATGCATTTAAACACTGCAGTTCTTTTAGTCCTTTTTCATGCAATGTTTTTGGCTATGGCAGAATAAAAAAACATTTAACGAAACACAGAAATTGAATGATTAGCATATGCAATTAGAATACTGTGTTCACAAGAAGTGATCAAAATTAAAGCTTTGCATTTATAAGTGAACTGTCGTAATTTTTACGAAAAATCATGACACTGCCTTTGAAGCATATTTAATTTTGACACAGTCTTGGTGTCACCTGTAACATCTGCAGCCATTACAACTGCATGAGTAAATGAAAACTCAAAACTGCAGACAAAATACAGCATATGATTTAAATTTTGAAGCAAGTAAACATGGTCAATTTTCACTCTTTTACTGTATTTTTAATAACCTTTTGCACTTTTGAAATAACATGGTAAATATATTTATCAAATCAGTTTTTAACACAAGAATTACATACATGTATTTACAACTCCAAGATGCATTATACTGCAGCCTGATATAGCTTATGTGATACCCATGTGAATATAATATATACTAATAAAATATATACTGATATAGCTCATGTGACACACAAATGCATGATACACATGCAAATACATGCACGTGACATCAGAATAACACTTTCTGTTGATCTGATCTACCGATTGTAAACCAGTGGAATCAGTATGATGTATTATTATGACATCAGCAAAATCATAAGATTGAGTCTTTCACTTTTGCTTACTCACACTACACAGTCATGCAATTCAAACTTACCATTTTTCATACCAGTTTTTGTCATGTCTCTAATTCCATAACAGATACAAACCAGTAATGGTTATGAAAAATCCATATAGTTGGCATCTCTAAATTATTAACAATATTGATTTTCTCATGGTTTAAGAATTAGCTTTTACACTGCTTACATTGTAATTTCATAAAGCTCCTGACAAATGTGATAATAATGAGATACTGATCATGAATACTAGTATTTCAAAAATACCTAATTTAGGAGGTTGTTTAAAAAACCTTATACTTGTCGTTCAATGCAAAATGCTTGCATAAAGGTATAGATAAATTTTATTATGTTTGGCAACAGTTGACGATTTAAAATTTTTAAAATGTTGTTAATACTGAAATCTCCAATAAAAAATTCTCTTGTCTAAAAAAAGTATAAAAAAAGTGTGTGCAAATTTTTAATTTTTGATAAATTTAGATAATTCTTGCATGCAGCAAGAGCCATTTGTAAACTGCATGCTGTCTATAGTGGTCTGAGCACAAGGCCGATTTTTTAATATTTTAACACCTATATATTTACCAATTTGATATAATTCTCGCTGATTTTTTTTTCTGGGGGGGGGGGGAAGATTCAATGATAAAAAGCATATAATTAAGAAATATATCAAAGTATCAATATTTTTGATTTCAATGTTTAATTTCATTAATGTTTTTAAAAAATATTTTAATACTAATTGTAAATGATGAGCTGTGTGATGCCAAATTACATTGTTAAAAAATTATGTAGAAGTGTTACTGCAATCTCCAGTTTCTTTCGTAATGTTATACTAGTTCCGTCAGAACATAATTCGATTAAATGACTTTTCTTTTTTTTCAATTTTCAGAAAATCCGTAAGAATTAGAATATTAATTATAGAGGTATGTTATGACATATAAGAAACATGTTTTTCTTAGAATAAATAAACAAGTAAATGAAAAGAACAGGTGGCTCACAATAAACAAAGTGTTTCTAAAACTAAAGCAAAACACAAACAGCAAAGCAAAAATAAGTTTAATTGGAATTTCTACAATAACTACACACAGAAATGAAATTTTATAGCACAGCAAAGTGTGAGAAAGCAAGTTAACTCTGAATGACAATAAAAAACACTGCGTTGCCAAAACCTATAAACCAAATTATGCATAATTATTATTAGTTCAAAGGGGGTTTGTCCCTGAAGGATGTTTTTGTTTTGGGATTTTGCATCGAAAACTTTAAAAGGCTGTATCACTTTTCAAATCGTTGCCACCAAATACTATCATCCTGTATTATATTTGAAGACAAAATAATGAAGCGTCTGCATAAATCTATAGCAATAAATTCATTCTTGAATATATCAGTAAATTATGCATGTAAGCATATGGGACAATTTGAATTTAATTTATTAAAGTATGCTGATTATTTTATTAACAGAAAATTTGTTTTACAGGAATCACATAAAAAGTTAGATTTTATATTTACACTTTAGGGCCAAAATTGTTTTCATAAAATCCATTATGAGAAGCAACTTATTTTGATATTATATATAGCATTAATAAATACAGCTAAATACTCAAACAAAATCAAGAACTTTTCTTTCTAAATTCCATTTATTAAAAAGTATCTTACTTCACTTCGAGTTTCAATAGTGCTTGAATCTTCTAAAGTTCCTGGGAAAACATAATTACGCGTGAATGTTAATGGAGAAACTGCATGATCATCCTTTTGATTCTTGGAGCTGTAATAGAACATTTGATTTTACAAATAAATTACTTAAAGAATTAGAAACAAGCACACTTTTTATAGTTTTTTTTAGACAAGAGAATGTTTGATTAGGAATTTCAATAATGGCAATGTCTTAAAAATTATTAATCGTCAACTGTTGCCAAACTTACATAAAATTTGCCTACATCATTTGCTAGACCATAAAGAAAAAGAATAAAAATTAAACTGAATGAACTTAATGAGAAAAGAACTCACGATGTCTCATCACTAAGGAGCGATATGTGACAGTTCCATCCGGATTCCAAACCCATTTTTTCTGAAAAAACCTACATAAAAAATATATTAGTAATTTCCAAGAATCAAAATGACTAAAAAAGGAATCAAAAGGTTAGCAAATAACAGCTGCAATGAAAGATACGCCACTTTAGGAAAAAGAGACATAATATTAAATGTATATAGTACAAAGAAGCTGGTATACGAAATGTTTGAAAGGAAAAAGTGCATTCAAATCTCACTATCATAAACCCAGCTTATAACAAACAAATCTTCTTGTCCCCATCTAATTTTTTATTCATTTAATCTTATTTTATACTGCTATAGCAAATTTTCGAAGGTAAGAAACTCAGATATAATGAACTAAATGAATATCTTTGGTTGAAACCTCTTAATATCTTTGCCAGAATTTTAGCAAATTTTAATGAAAAAAATTACCAACACTTAAAATCATCAACATTTCAGATGCTAGGCTTCACATTTCATCCCTAAAGGAAAACATCTTTACATTGCTTTTCTTTTATGTTCAATCTTAAGTTTCTCTGTATTTTAAGCAAAGATTGTGAAACAGGTGAGACGTTTCATCTAGGAGAAAAAGGATACAATAAGCAAATCATATGACACCACGTGGTATTCTTTATTTTTGGTGTATGTGAAATGAAAGAGCATAAATGGGTTCTTTGATTCTATTCAAATTCTTTGAATGAATTGTCAGACAGAGCTCTCATCAAGGTTGATAGTATGTTTTCACTATTCAGAGAAAGAGGAAGTAGAGAATCTTATGGGTTTGGGTTAAACAGTTAATCCTTCTTTCAACACAACATTTTACTCTCATCTCCCCCCCCTCCAAATATAAATGTTAACCAAGTTCTGTCCTTCAAATGGGGTTTTGCTTTTTTAGGTCTTTTGATAGACATAAAGTATTCCTTAAAAAAGTAACTAAGTCATTCCTTGCAACCATATTTATCTTAAGTAAAAGTTAAACTTGTCAATATTTTTTATTATTCATTTACATATAAATATCAAAACACTGTTTTTTATATTTCTGTCAGACAATCTACTTTTCTCAGCAAATCATGTACAGCAAATCAAATTTCCAGTCATTTGAAATTCATTATAGCAGGGTTTGACTGTATTATTAATGAAGTTGTGTTGATATAGTCAGGAGTATTTACAAGTTCATGAAGAATTCTATTTTGTTAAAGAAAATTTTGATTCGAATTTATTTCATTGGTAAAAATGATTTTTATTTTAATTTTAATTTAATATGCAATAAAATTACATACTTTTTCCAATACAATAATGAATTTCATCTTTTAAATCCAGCTGGGAATGCTTTTCAATAAATAAGTCTCATCTGATTGCAAATCCTAAAATGTAGATGGGCAAATTTTACATTTATCAAATAAAATAATGTGATAAAATTTCGATAATCTGAGAGCACTCTGCAAATGCTTGTAGTCTGTGTATATTTTTGGATGGATATAAACAAACCTTGTTTTTTCTGAAAATTCAGCATGATGGCAAATTCATCAGCAATTTTTTATATGTATATGCAAATGATTTTTTAACAAAAGTACATTATATCAATAACATGGTTTGATTGAAAAAGTAAATTTATATTATTAATGAAATTACAATGGTCTGTATAACAATTTTTTTTTTAAATATGTTCTAAGTCTAATACGTAATTTTATATATTTTTACAATGATAATTTCAAAATTGGAATCCGAATTTTTGTATCACATCAGGATTTTTTGCAAATCTGAGAGCTTTATATTTTCACAAATACTTCTATTTTACCATATATTAATTAATTTATTTTAGTGCTACAAGATATAAATAAATTGCACAAAAACAATAATATATTTAATATGTTTTAAAAAGCATAGAAATGGATTTAAATATATTAATAGATTTAGTATATTATATAAAGCATATAATTGAATGGAAAGAGCATAAAAATATACTTCCATATAACTGCTCTTATACAAGGCATATTATAAAATTAGCTGAATGTGTTAAAATGTGGTACCAATTTTTTTTCACGGTGTTTGTGGTAGTAGTAAATTTTTAATTTTAAGGCATGAACCAAGAAGTTCAGCACTTTCCCTTGGCAAGTTTAGCTCTCTTATTAAATCATTAAGCCCACTTTGATTAAATAATATTGGTATAGCTTCATTTGTTTCAGGCATATACAGATCTTCCTCTTCTTCAAGTACTTGAAAATCTGAATAAATTTCTATATCACTTATATTTTTCATATTAGCTTGAGGATGAGGAACTGGAAGATATGCATTATGACTTATACGTCTTATTGCTGAAGGTACGTTTGGATATACAATACCTCTTTAATTTTTGCATTATAACCAGTAACATTCGTCACAGAAAAATAACAATCATCATAATTATTCTTTTATTCTCTCCACACCATTGGAATTGCAAGAGGCATTGAATTTTTCTTTTACTCCAAAAACATAAAGCTTCAACACAAGTTCGACACACTTTATGTGGAGCCCACAGCTTGTCTTGATTACCTAATTTAATTCCAAAATATGCGATATATGCATATTTTGCCAAAATTAACAAATTCAAATTTTTAACAAATTCTGTCATATTTTGCCTTTGTTTTACTGGTGCAAAGTTTCCACAAATATGACAGAATATATCGGCATCATTCACTCATTTACAAGAAGCCATACTTCATAAAATATTAATTAAAAGCAATGAAAAGAACTACTTAGCAAACAATTAATTTAAGGCAAAGAAAAAAATGAAAATTTAAGAGTCATGTGATTAAAGTATTCTAAATAAATTGCTGCCATTTATTTGAAAGAAAATTAACCACAAATGAATATTTTCTATATAAAGCATTCAATTAAAAAAAAAAGTGAAAAAGGGGGGAAAAACTTATGTGATAATAAAAAAAATATTTATATTTCTGAAATCAGAATGAAAAATATTTCTAGAAACAATGCGAAATATAGAAACATCAAAAACCATGCTGAGCAGTGTTATTTAGTTTTTTTCCTTCATGCATAATAGCATTTTTTTATTAGTGTTGTTATTATACACAGCTTGATTAATGAATCTCGGCACGTTTCAAAAAATAATCTACATTTAAATGTATATTTTGCTGTCTTTTAAAATTCATTTTGAATTTAATATTAAATATGCATAAAGGATTCATTTGTCCCCTCTGTTTTAGATCCTAAATTCAAACTATAAATGTAATGCTGAGTCCCATCAAATCTATTTTGTTTAAAATTCTTGCAAAGCAAATAACAATAATCTGTTTTGTTTAAAATTTTTAAGAATAGCATTTGTGGGGATTTTTCTGACATGCAAAATGGGAAAATGTCAGAGAGGCTAAAGGATACAGAATATTTTTAATAAATCCAAAATTTCAATTCTAGCATGTTCATAATTATTAATAACATACATCAGTATTTTCTCTAATTTTTGACTAATGTGCAATTTTATTTTGATCTTTGCAATTTTTTTTTACTGCAAGAAATGTTTTGGCAGCCTTTATGTTTTACTCTTACTTTACTTTTATATTAAATTAATTTTATTTTAATAATATTCATTATTTTCAAAATACATATATTAAAAAAACTATTTATTAATTACAAAAACTGCACATTAATATACATGTAAACATAATAAAATTATTTATTAAAATGCAGCTTATTATTTATTAAAATGCTAATAGTAATAGCAACAATATTCAGATTTATGAAAATAAATAAATAACTGTTACCATATGTATATATTAAATCTTTTCTACTTTTAAAATTTAACTATTTAGCTTATGTGCTATCCAAATTTATATTGTTTCCACATCTTAAATACAATTTTACTTGCACTAACACGGCTAAGCAATCTTCTTTCAAATGATTATTTTGTTTATTTTTTATTTAATTCCTTAAAACTGAAACTTATTCACAGTTAACATTTAGATGCTAAAAATATTCAACCAATATCTATTCATTTTGAAAGTTCAGAAAACTGTTCTTTCTGTAATGAAAACATTACCATATCTGAAATTTTTTTTTATTACTTTAAACTTGATTTTTTTTCCCACCCAACAAATTTAAAGTCATTATATTGTTCTAGCACAGCTGTTTGATCATTTGACATATTACTATAATTTTTGTCCAATTTTTTAACTAACTCAGTAGTCAAATACTGTCCATTCCTGAACTTCATTTTCAGGAAATCTTTCTTCTAAAAAAGAGAAAAGTGTATTTATAAAAATTAGCATACAATTAAAGTCGATTTCAATATTTTTTTTAATTCAGCTTTTTGGAGATAAATTTTCACTCTAGTATCCTAAGTAATGCTGCTTAAGGTTAATAAATCATTCTTTATTTATTTTCTGCAAGTTTTTCAAAAATATCATTCACAATATATAAATTTTGTATGAAATTTAATATTTTAGAATTTCCGTAAACAGTATTTTGAAATAGAATTACTTGCTCCATCTTCTTTAAAATATGTAATTAATGCTTTCTTATTTTTAATTATTGCTCTCTGTGAAATATGTCTAGATAGTCATTCACTTTATTTAGTGGTTTAAAGGTAATACTTGTAGTTCATTTTCTAAAGCAATATCTTGAAATTTATCTTTCTTTTTTGCAGATCTAGAAAATATGGTGTATATCATTCTCATCAAAGTTTCAGTATCTCTCATTAATTTAACTTATTTTGAAGTATCACCAAATAATGAAATCTTATGATGTACAACATGGTGTTGTTGAATTAATTGTGGTATGTTTTCTTTTAGTTTTGCTGCTACTCCATTTATCTTACTTGGTATAAACACTGCCCTCTCAAGTAAAGCAATCTCTTCCCCCCCCCCACATTAGCATTATTTCCTCTGTAAACTTTTTACTGCAGAAACAACTGAAAAAGTATAGCAACATTTTAATTGAATTATTCTGCAAAGATAGTTTTATAGAGGTTATTCTATTGAAACCAAATTTTAATACAGTTTTAAACACTAATGACAGAAATGTTAGTACTTTCATCAAGAATTAAAGTGTAAAAATTACATGCCTTGAGTTCTTTTATCATGCTAATTTTTTAACACAAAATAAATATTTTTTAAAAACTCGAGAGCATAATTCTTATTTTGCCAATTTCTTAAAATTGTAACATATTGTTGCACAATATATATTGTGCAACAATATGTAGCAATATGGTTATTTATATCCTGGACAGAGTGCAATGAAATGTTAATTTTAATTGCTAATAATACATTATGATTTAATATACTCCTTCATGAATGGAATTTTTTTTTCAACTTTTATTCAAGATCTTTAATAAATGAACTAATCCTGTTGCTGGTAGCAAAGGATTTGTATTTCTTAATTTTGTTACACTAACCACATGAGAGTTAATATTTAAATGCCATTTAAAAAAAATACAGTTTCCAATTATCTATTCATTTTTTCCCACTAATAAAATCATTATTTGCATGGCCATCACAACAGCAAATCCAAATAATTCCATTTCTTCATTGTACAAAAATGTTTTCTGTACAAGAAACACAAAATATTTTTATTGTTTGGTATCTCTGTTTCAACTATTTCATCAAGCCATCCGATTTTAAAATCATTTGTTTTTTTCCCTTCTTTTTATGAAGCTTTCCATAGTTTATATACAAATACATATATGGCATTCAGTACAATGCATAAACACATACATTGTTAGCTAAACTTGCAGAAAACACACCACGTGTCAGTTACTCTTTAAAACATGCCAACATGCACTTTATTTACCACATTACGAGACAGCACAAGTGCACCAGCACCATATCCCATAGTTGTATGGTGCAACACATGCTCACATATTAAATATCAATGAATATACAACGAACGAATTTAATATGATTTATTTTAAAGTTTACATAAAAATGTAATTATTATTATTAATACTGTTATTTTGATTAATGACATGTTTGTGTAAGCACTTGTTAATTATCTTTGTGCACTGATTTTTTTAAAAAGCATGCACACCTGCACCAGCTAGGAGGAAATTTTGTTGTATATACATGGAATAAAATGCATAGGTATTCATTTTAGTGAAAACGTTATCCATGGGGTAGGTATTTGAAAAACAATACACGTATGTATTTCTGCCTTAATTTAAGAGCATGAAAATTAATTTGATAGCAATCACCCTGATGATATATGCAGTTTTGTTTATGCTGGATGCTTCAATGTAGTTTCAGAAAAGGAGCAAAATTTCTTTTTATTCAAAATTTTCCTATTAGTTATGCCTTTCTCTTCACTATGTTTTTCCCTTGCACTACTTTGTTTTGAGTTTGAATTATATCATCATAACTCTGTATATTAGCAAATTCATAAATTCCTTGAAAAAATGCCTTCTAAATTACCACTGTGTTGCTGTTGAAGCTCTTTATTGAAACTAAAAATGATATTGCATACTTTCAGGTTTTAACCTGTTCAGTACAGGCGTGTCATATGTGCATCAGCAGCGAACATTACCTCACGGCCAGGTGTGTCATATTTGAATCGCCATTTAATTCAATCTAGGGCCGGGCGTACCACATTTGACTTTTTAGATAGAACATTTAATTAGTATTTTTTGTTGCCGCTAGATGTAGCTAGCTGCATGTCTGTTATAGAGAAATATATTGAAAGTTAAGTATGTGTACCTTCATTCCTATGCAATGTTTTTTTTATTTTTCGTATTTTGTTTCGGAATGAGAGGGAGATTCGTGGGGTGTTGAGCAATGTCTCTTTAACTGTGTCATTTGATATAAACAAATGCACATGTTCTCGATGCATTGAAGTACTTTTCATTTTTATTTTTCGATATAGGTATTTGAATGTAGAAGAATATACACAAATGCTAATTCGTTAGTGTTGAGTAAGGTGATGGCTCTTACTGCGATATTCTATCATTAGAGACTTTTTATTACTTTTAGATTTTTCTGGCATTGAGAAGAATATTTTGTATGGCTTAGCGAAAGGGTTTTTTTTTTTTTTTTTTTTTTTTTTTTTTTTTTTTTTTGTGTGTGTGTGTTCTATTGCTGGTGTTCTATTTTTTAATGGCAAAACGAAAGCGCTATTTGACCGTAGAATGCCGTAGAAATGCTAAATGAGTCAAATTTGCTGATATTCTATTCCTCTGAGATTTGCAACATTGGACTTTGCATACACCCATGTTTCAAAGAATATCATACACTGTCTCTTTTTTGAAATATTGCTTCCTTTTCGTTGTTTGCACATTGAATTTTTATGAAAGACAGTTTTAATATTTTTTAATTTTAATTGTGTGTTGTGTTGTGGATAAAGGAATGTGTGGGAATGTGTGTTGTGTGGGATAAAGGAAAAAGTATATTATTCTAGAATGAGTGTTTTATAAAAGTTTTAAGGAAAATATAACAATAAAGGTTTAAAATTAATTCTGACAACTACCTGAATGTTCTTCTCATAATGTACCAAAAATTGGAACAATTGGATGACAAATTTAATTTATACAAATGTTTTTCCAAACATTCGTATTGCCTGTCCCCACAAGACGACGTATCCGGTTAACAGGCTGTCCCAAGAGAACGCATTGGTAACAGAGGTGCCTGTCGCAAAACCAGAAGCAACAGAATTGCTTTTATTTGTCAAAAGTAAAGCTATGGATTTGTCGAAACTTTTAAGGGCAGATAATAATTTAGACTAGATGATTTCCATACAATATAGTTAAATGTTGATGAAATTATTTTAAGTATATTATTAAGGTAACTGGTAAAAATTCAGACAGTCAGTCTGATAATGAGGAAAGAAAAATTACTTTGAGAATGTAGCATTAGGCCAACAATACTTTTCCACAGATTCAATAAACATTCTACGAAAACTAAATTTTGAAACATGTTGGGAAATGATTACAGTATGATGATATATGTAGATTTGTATATTTCAGAAGCAAGAGAAGCCTAAAGTATTAAAATAAGCAACAACAGAAATGACGTTCCAAAAATATAAAAGTAATCATAACATTATTGTATGGATATAATTATATTTAAAAATATAATGGTGTTATATAAATCTTTTTTGTTTTCCTTATTTATGTGCAAATAATCCATGTTTAACACACAAGTTGGAAAAGGGAAAATGTAAACTAAGTTGTGAAAGACATTACCTATAATCTGCAAAATTCAAGCTCTCAGTGTGCGAATGTTGCAAGGAATTCTACTCTAATTCTTCTAAGTATAAATAGTAATAACTAATAAATTATAACATTCACAGTGTTTCATAAGCAAATTACCAATTATTAAGACAATATGATGCAAAAAAAAACTAATAATTTAATTTCATCAAAACACAAAGTTCAAGAACTCACCCTACTTCGAAGTTCATTTTCCTTAGAAAAATGCACAAAACGTATGCATGCCTTATCTAATTGTTCTATCAACTGTACAAAGTCCTAAAATTAAATAATCCCATATGAAACATAAACATAAAACAAGTTCTACAGTAGAAGCCCGATTATTCCATATTCATCTAAATGGAAAGCTCAAATAACAAGAATATTTTAGAATTTTAGGAAAATTTTTTACCCCAAAACATTAAGTAAATGAGTGAATTGATATATTATAACTGTTTGTAATATTATTAGCATATATACATTGCAACCAAATAATGCGATCTAGTGACAATAATGAATAAACATGATATTGCAACACAATCCTAATAAATTCATCATATCAAATTTAACGTAAACTTGATCAATTTTTGACGAAACAGTTTAACTTTTGTAAAAAAAGATATAATTTTTTCTCCCACATAAAAAAAAATAGTTAATATTTGGAAGCGTATGAAGTGTACTATTTTCAAAGTTACAGGATTTTGGCATCAAAAAAAGCTATGCCACACTGTTTTGAAAACAGATAAACAATGGTGATTTAATGTGAAAAATTATAATAAATGATTTAACTTTTTTACATGCTACATGTGTAATTTGCATCTCTTTATTATCTAACTAACTAAAGAGCAGTCTGTATTTTTAAACTTCTGCTGAGATGATTGGCAACATCTCCGCCAATTTTCATATTTGGCAGGATTTTATAATCGGATGAGATGTTTTACTTTCATGTTTAAGGTCTACGAAATGCGTCGGCTTTTTTCGAAATCCCACGTTATTTTAAACGTTGGCTTTCGATATTTAAGTAACAATTGCTTACTTCCATCATTTTAGAGAGAAAATTTTTCCCATTGATTTGGCTTTTCTAATGTGAATTCTGTTTTTTATACGCTCAGATATTCGGAATTCAGCATTTATGAGCATTCCGGATGGTCGAGCTTTTACTGTACAAAAATATAACTTGAAATACCATTCATACACTAATTTTTCCTATATTTTCATTAATTAATTTCCCTATTCAGTTTTAAATATCAAATTTAACTTCATAAAGACATGAAATAGTATAATTCATTATAGTTCCTTATTAGAGTAACAGATACAGTCTCTGATACTTAATGTAAACAATTCATTTAAATCTTATTTGATCACGTTCAAAAATTTGAAAAATTCACATCATTACATTAGAGTACCAGATACAGTCTCTGATACTTAATGTAAACAATTCATTAAAATCTTATTTGATCATGTTCAAAAATTTGAAACATTCACATCATTACATTTTTATTTAATTTAAAAATGGCATAAATTTAATTACTCACAATTTAAATAAATAAAATAAAATAAAATAAAACAATAAAACAATGTGCACTCAATGAAGTTTCCCTTTTAGTTCTAAAATTCTTTGAAAAATGTTACATGTATGGCTCAGCAACTGAAGTACTCTGTATAAGCATCAGTATCAGCATCCAGCTTATTCAGAACCTGTAATTCTTTCAACATAATAATCATATTTGTAACTCCTTCATTAACATTTCTTCCCCATATTATTGGCAAATTTTTGTTATGTGAAATGCACTCTAAACAATGACTAATTTTCTTCCTTCACTTCAGGAAAATTTGATACATCTTGCAAATTTCTTAAGAGAATCCATTACTTTATAAAATAAATTCTTATTGCTTTTTTTATTTGTACTAATAACTTGCTGTGTAACATTATGCATTTACGAGGATCCACAACAGAAATTGAAATGATAATTTCTTTTCAGTTAACAGTTATTCATCTACCAATTTCATCAATTACCTTCTAGACAACAGCTTTTTTTCCAATGGTGAGTCCCATTTGAAAGCTCTGATATCTCTTTTATCTAATAGCTGAAAACTAGAAGTTGTATTTTTAGGAAGGAATATAAGTCTGATATGCTGTTTTATGGCATTATCTGGATATCCAACACAGCTGTATAACAACAATTTAATTTTCTTTTTCTTTATCCCATTTTAATATGAAATCTGGGAAAAGTTTTTAAATTTTGAAAATTTTTTTATTGTTTCAGCAAATTATTCATAAATTCTTAGTCTCTTCGAAAAACCTTGAATTAGGCTATACAGATATCCATCTCTTGCTTGAATTTTTAACATCCTGTGAGCAGTGATTCAGATGTCTGAACATACAAGTATGTTTTGGCAGTGTTCTAAAAATAATGAAATCTCATTAATATTGTAGATCTAATGTGGCAGGTAATTTTTTTTAAAATTCTGAAAAAATGATTTTCATCTACTTTTTCAGATATTACATGACCTGCATGCAGTTTACAACAGATAGTATTACAATGTTGTTTCATCTAGTTATCCTCAGTTCTCAAATCTGTCATTTGCCAATCAGAGCAAAATCCTCCACCCATATTTTGGCTATTTTGCTTTTGGATTAAAATTACTCTACACATTTTTCATTGATATCTACACATTTTTCAGCCTTGTACTTTTGAATAATTCCAGAATTGTCAGAAGATCAGAAGATTTTTCACCACTATAGTATTATCAGACACTTCTGTGTTCTGTCTTTTAATTTTTTTTTCTTTTGGTGGTGGGGGGGGATAATTTCTTTCTTTATCTGTTTAAGTTAGATAATGGAGGATGTGAAATCCCTGCCTTAAATTAGAAATGCATCATTAACCACATTTCAGAAAAATATTATGACATTTACACAAATCATTACTTAGAATTTTAACAGTTCTAATAACTGGCAATCTTTTCTTTCAACAAAGGAATTGCCCTGGTAAGCAATCAGAAATGTCAACACAAGGGTTTTTCTCACTTCTATTTCAACTAACTTATAAGAACCTACATTAGACAACTTCATTTATTCATTGGATTTAGCTCACTGGAATTTTTTTATTTTTCACTATAATCTGACTGAATACTATTATGACTGAATATTCAGAATACTTTTCTGCTTGAGAAAAAAATTCTTAATGTATTCTGTAATCGAGAAAAAAATTCTTAAGTTCTTGATTACTAGAGATAACATTTCTAACAAAATCTGACAACATTTTGGAATTCTGGAAAGTAAAAAAAATTACACTAATTTCCAGAACCAAAACAAATACATATTAATTAGTGGTAAAAATTACTGTTTCTTGAACTCATCTATGCTGATTATAAAACTCAAATTGGCAAAAGACTGTGATTTTTCAGAGCAAGAATATCCTACTGCTACATATCACAGCTTTCTGTATTTCATTCATTTAATGTACTGTGCATTGTGGCTTTATTGTTCTGGTAAGTAGTGCTTTAATAAAACAGGTTTGACCGAACTTTCTCTACTCCCTTTCACTGTACCACAGTTCTCTGGAGGCATTGCAAACAAGTGAGTGTTTTCCTCCCCTCAAAATACCAGCTACCAGATAGGAGGTGGAAATGCAACTTCTGCATTCTATCTTTTAAGGTTTCCACAATCAAAAAACATTCCTTTGGGATAGACACATTATGTTCATAAAGAGTTATAAAACAAAGGTCATGAAATGCTTCTTAGAGTTACTGAACATTAACAATCTTTGAATGGAAAGTAGTAACTGTTGGCTAAAGAAAAAGCTACGAAAGCATTGGTAATGCTTGTAATCATGAAGTGGTAAATTGACTAAACAGACAAAGGGTTCTAACAGAATTACATTTTTCTAAACATCTAGTTTTGAAATTTGAACTGGAAGAATCATTTTTACTTCTTTCTGTGATGTAAAGGAAATATTATAATAGTGAAAAAGTCCAAGTATTATATTTTGACAGAAATATCCATTTTGACTATTCCCGAATCCATCTGAATAATTTTTTTGTGTGATGTCTGTGCATAAGGATAGAATACAGAACTTCTTGTTTAAATGGGTTGTAAAATGGATTAAAAAGATATTTTTTCATTAAATATGTATGTACGTATCTCGCATAACACTAAAATGATTAGCCATAGAACAATGAAATTTTGTATATGGGACTGCTATAAAATCTAATTATGCACTTCCCATGTTTACTGCAATCATTAGTACCAAATGAATGCAGTATGTATATGTATGCATGTGTATATATATGTATATATGTGTATATATATATATATGGACAAATAATGAAATATAACTTTTATTGGGATCCTTTGGTTCTTATACCTATATTTGGGAAAGTTTCACACTCATTATGAAAAAGTAAAATTATAAGAAGTTTGAAATTGAAAAGCAAATTATAAGAAGTTTTCTGTGTGAAAAAATTGACTGGGATGTTCAATTTTAAAATTTACAATTTTCTTGTCATTTTCAAATTCTCTGAGAGATCGGTTAATTAAGTTAGAATATTTAGAGAAAAATTTTAAAGGAAGTGCAGCAAAATATGTATATTATATAATAGGCTGTAAAAAGAAGTCATGTGGGGGACATATTAGATTTTTTTAACTTGCTGAGTGCTTAACTTGTAACATGTCAAAAATACCAAATGAAAAGACTTAAGCTTAGAGGGGATCTGTTAAAAGATTTTCATGTTCTTGGAAATTGTAGCTAGAGAAAAACTATATTCAAACTGTGAATTTCCCAAACAGCACTGTTCAATTTACACAAGAAATTACAATTAATGAAGAACTAATCAAAAATATAAATGTCCTACGAAAATGCTAGAAAAAGGAGAAAATGGAGAAACATTGAAACTGCTTGTCTAGAATGGTTTCAAGTTAAAAACTAAAATGTGTTTCAATTTCTAGAGCTTTTTTTCACCAATTTGCAAATGTTAGGAAAAACTTTTATATCAAATGACAGATCATCAGCTGGCAGAATTGACTCGTAACTTGGAGAAAGAGAAATCCAACATCGTTCATCAGAAGCTTAATGGTAAGAAGGAAGAAGTAAATCATCATGTGTTTGCTAACCGGATGAAAGACATTTGATTTGGGTTGCTAAATAAAGAACAACCCACACAAGCCGCCAACTGGTATAGTGGTTAATGTCGCTGACTTCTATGCTGAAGCGCTCAGATTTGAATCCTGGAGTAGTTATGGATGTTTGTAAATGTATAGTGTCAATGTGGCACTCTAATGCGGCGAGCTGAAACTATATGTGGCGAGCTGAAAGTCCTCTCATGTGGTTTGGTGGAAGGGGTGGGAGACCCTCGGACCCATCTCCTCTAGGGTGATCTCCATCAAAATTGGGAGCAGAACTGAGCTAAATCACACCGTCACCTGTAAGGTGCTCAAGGCTGTTGCAACAACAGGCATAATCTTGCGCTCCTTGAAACGAGCAATTTCGTGGGCTTGGGCTTGACTGCATCAGACAAGTGACCATAAGTAACGGCAACAACAGTAAACCACTCAAGCAGATGAAACTGGACTACATTACAAAACATTATCAAACACAAATTAATATTTAAAAGTGAAATAGCATCTGGATTAAGAAACTAAAGGAAAATAAGTTACTGTGCTGTTAATGTGCAACAAGGACCCAACATTAAAAATGACAGTGTTGTTTAGTGAAAAAGGAAAAAATCTCAATGTTTGAAAGGAGTCATGAATTTACACAGCAACATGCACTCATGGATGTCAAGAAATATTTTTACTAACTCTCTTTAGAAATGGAACATTGAATTAAAAAATGAGAAAAAAACAGCTTTACTAATTAGGTAACTGTGCAGTACACATCCCTCTGATCTCTTCCTGCAAATACAACCCTAAAATTCAAATTAGAATATTATAAAAGCTTTCAGGTGTCATTACAGGAAAGATGTCTAGCAAATGACGAACAGGACTGAATTTTGTGAAAATGCCAGCACTTCGAAGGAGATAAGTAAGTTGAGATCTCTGATAGATGTCGTGCATATTCAGTCAATTCAGTGAGTTAATCTCTTAAAATAAATTTAAAATTGTTTTTGAAAATGTAGATTTTATGTAGAAGAAGCATTGTAGGAACTGAAAATTATAGCTAATATTTCAGATATTAATGAGGAAAGTTATGAAGATTAATTTTTAACATGCATTAGTCCACATGAATAGTGAGATAACATGCGTAAAAACTGACTACGAAAGTGTTAAATGCTGAAACTGACACAAAAAATCACAGCATGCCAACATCAATCGAATCTAGAAACACATTGCAGAATCTAAGAAAAACTCTTTAACCGAAAGGTGTTGATCAGAAACACTGCTAGCAGTTTTACGAAATTGAGAAAACAATTGAAAAAATGTTATTGAACAATATGAAACAAACACAGATAGAACAGGTGTTCCTAAGAAAGAAAATTTCAAATTTGCACAGTTTAATTTTAGCATTAATTTTTAATTATTATTTTAGGATATTTTATTTAACTATTTGTCAGCTATTATTTTACTTGAAAAGTTTAAAACTGACATCCTGATTTGCATTCCACAAATCACCATCCATTAAACTTAGCCCCTGAATAAGCTCAAACAGTTTTGGATCAGAAGTGATTTGAATCAAGTGTCAGATACTGGATATGAAGTGTTGTAAAATATATTATTCTTTTAGTCAGTTTCTTTCACTGCTTTTCACCTACACTATGCATTTAATTCACAATATATACTGTAAATGCACTTTACGCTATTTGTTATAATATTATTACAAAAATTAAAATTTAAACAGCAACTTCTGATTACTAAGTATATTACTAAATTCATGAATATGATAATACTATGATTCAAAATTATCTTATCTTTATACTCTTATATATTTTTAGTATGCATCAATTTTTCATGCAGTTTTTTTAAAAACAATCTTTAATTTTCATATTAGTACTTAAAAGTCTTTTCAAAGATTTCAAGTCAAAATATTTAATAAAAAACTTTGATATTTTTTTACATACTGGAACATACTGGAACAGATCTGTTCAGAAAAACATAAAAATTCTACCTTAAAATACTATTTATTAGTATTATAATGGTGATACAATTTGGCAATACATTTTTAATAATATAATAATAAATTTAGTTAACACATAAAAGCAATACAAATGTTACTATAAAAATCAACATGAAAAGAACTACTGTTTTATACTAAACAGCAGCTGCAAAATAGTTTAGAAAAAGGCCTTTCTTTTAATTCATTTCCAAAGTATTAGGTTAAAATAATCATGAATGCTTATATTTTAGATTTTTAGTTTCCAAATCATAAATTAAATAATTAGAGTGGTGCAGTTAATTATCTAACTTTCAGTTTCACAGCACTGTGATTCCTTCAATTAAAAAAAATGTAATGATTTGAAAAATAAGCATTATTGTGTTTTCCAGATTTAATACAAAAAAATGTAATTCTTGCATAATTTTAATTCCTAAATTTTGTTAATATATTTTAAGGATCAGCATTAATGCAAAATAAGGAAACCTCAATTTCTATACCCCAGTAAATTTCTTTGAAATAAACAATCTAAATCAACAGACAATTAATATTTAATCTAATATACAAAGTACTCTTTTGTTGATTTGACAGTTATGTTTAGCAATCAAGGTGCAAACACTTTTTCTTTCATATAAATAAATTTATTTAAAAACACGAAGAACTGTAACAAGCAAAAATTTAAATTTTGTGTGTATTCTGTAATACATCCACTACACACCGAAATACAATGTTATATATGTTTCTATGTTTTTCCTTTTTTTTAACAAATTTTTCTATTGCATACCTTTAAATCATATAAACAAACAATAATAACCTTACATTTATATGAAAACATTAATTCATACCCAACAATAACCATGTGTACTTTGTAGATAGATTTAAGTTATTGAGAATTATTAAATGAATTTTTGAAAGCTGAATTATACTGATTCTCTCATTTGGAAGCAGACAAAAGAAACAATCAAAAGCAGCTGCTGTAACATAGACTGAAAACCGTACCAATAAAAGTGAGACATACAGGACAAGCTTGATACTGCATTGTCACCATTCCAATAAAGATTTCATTGCCCATTTGCTGAAGACAGCTATTTGTTCCTGAATACAATTCTTCAAATTTCTCTTCTTGATCAGGAAATATCAAAGAGTCACTACTAAGGTAACGATTCAGTGAATGATGCCGACCACAACCATCATTGCAAGGAGGATCCCAGGATCTGGTAGCATTAAAATAAATAGCTATGTCAATAAATTTAAAATTTAAAAAAGAAAATAGAAAAGGGGGAAAGAATTAAAGTCATCTTTAAAGGAAATTGTTTTATTTAAACTTAATTAAATGGGACAATAAAAGTATGAGAAATAAAATATAAATTTCCTGGTTGTTTATGTAAAATATAACAACATGTAAAATATAAGTTTCCTAGAAATTATAATTGTACGTCAGCCATATTTGAGAGTTTTTATTATTATAACAAAAAAGGATTACTGCATTAAAAATTCTACATTTACGTAAATTTTTAAATGACCAATGCTATTTTTCCTTTAGCTCAGATAAAAAAAAAAAAAAAAAAAGCCCACCTAATGTAAGGGGATGAAAGATGTAAGGGGAGCATTCAGTATGGGACTGTTGTGATTAATTAAAAAATATATTATTCATATTATTTAAATTTTAATTATACTTTTATTCTGAGTCACATTATGCACGTATTTATAATTCTAATCTTGTCAGCTATGATAACCTACAAAGCTACTGTCACATTAGACAGACACTTTAAAAAGCTACAAAAATTCTGTTTCAAGAGCTAAATGATAGTTACATACTTCTGGTTATACATCATAAAGTATGCAGTCATTTCCTGAAGTAGATGACAAAAATATTTTCAAGGCATGACCCAAACTAAACTAGTTATAGGACAGTCTCTAATTAGATAGGATAGTCTCTTAATTTTTCAAAAATTAAAAAGTTCAAGAAAAGTCTTAACACTAGTTTCTCATTTTGCATGTTAGATATGATAAGGCAAAGCAACTGAAGGTTATACGCATGATTTAAATAAAAACAATACCATTAATGATGAATCAAACTTTTATGCTGCTTAAATGTTTTAACTACAACAAGAGATAATAATTTTCAGTTTGCAAACAAAAGATAATAATTTTTTACATATAACTTCCTGTTTATGCATCTAGTGTTCCTTTTGAATTTGAGAGGTTAAGAGACCAGAGCTGTATCAGAAACCAAAAATAATTGAAAGGAAACTCTTGTCTGTTTTTCAGCTTAGAAATAAATTCTGGTTACAAAAAAACAAAAAAAAAAAAAAAAAAAAATATTACGCATGAAGAAGCTAAAATGCTTTATTAAAAAAGTAATAAGAATAAATATATACTTTTACATTTAGAAACATGCTGAAGTACATGAAAAGATCATATATCTGATATGAATCCCATTTAATAATTAAGTATTTAAAAAAATAAATTATTGAAACCTAGAGAACATCTATTCCATCTTTTACAGAACTTAGTACAGTATAAAGTCCGAAATCCGGACGTTCATTATCCGGAATGATCTAAAATCCAAACCTCAAAACCACTAACAACGTTTTTCTAGTAGGCTTTACTCATGCGCATTTAATTCCCCCCTCCGCACATAATAAAACATCTGGAGAGTCCCGATTCTTAATTTCACTTTGACACTAAATAAAATACCTTGTTATTGAAGAAACAATCATTTTAGCATAAATTTGTACGATCAGTATTTTGGCTCCATTGCTGCGTATCTGCTTGGCACACATCTTAAACCGAAACATTCCATATAAATACATCGTTAATCTGACGCCAACCTGGCGAATCATTATTTATTATACTTTCTTTTCATCACCGCATTTTTATTAAAACTTGAGAACGTTGTAATGACTCATGTAGCGATGTCTAAACAATTTTTTTTCTGTTAGTAATTGAATAATAAAGAAGATGGTAACCTTTTATGTGAATTAGGCTTGGCAATGATTACAGATTTAGTAAATGACTAAAAAGTGTGACAGAAAATTTCCAAAATTTCCATATGCTAAAAGATTTTATGATGATACTCATAGACCCAAAGATTACTATTAGGGCATACATTTAGGGCTATTTGAATTAAGAATAACTGATTTGCAATTTACATTTACCATTTAGATCATAAATACTTCGTTATTTCATAAATCATGATTTCATATTTTTAATTTTATAATTTCTACATGTCATCTTAGTAGATTTAAGCTGGAAAAATTCCAAATCCGGAATCGCCAAAGTCCCGACGAGTCCGAATTTCGGACTTTGTACTGTATTACAATAGTTTTGAATGATTATTTGTGACAACCATTATTATGATTTCATATTATTCAATAAAAAGCCACTTAGCTGACCGCTAAGGCAATAGTTACAACAAATCTCTATTATTTAATAGTAACCTCTGAGAGAGGTATTCAATTTTTATCAATGTTTGTCAATTGCTTGATACAGAATACAATGCATTTTATTAATATATCCATAAAAAGTTACCTTCCTACATTCTAATAAAATTATATAATCTCAGTAAGTTCCTTAATAAGGTATCCTCTCATCATCAATTATAACAAGACATCTCCAATATTTTCCTCAACAGACTCCACAGAAATATATCAAGTTAAAATAGCCAGAGTGCATCACAACCTAAAATTGCTCAAGTGCATATTTAAATTGGTAAATCATCTGTGGAATTATACTAATAACATACATTTGTTAATTTTCGTCTTGTGTGTTAAGGCAATTTACAGTGAAGCCAGTCTCAAGGTACTTGAAAAACATAAAAGATTGTGATATCCAGTAGTGAACAGATAACATGCAGATTCACGGAATCAGTAAAGTTCAAATTCCATATGACATCATCATAGATCATTTTTATGCAGACTATATATCTGACTATTTTATTTAGAGATGTGATCCAACAAAATGAGTATGACCTCAATAAAATGTTAACAGTCCATTAGCCAAAGGTTATCACAAATTAGCAAAGAAAAATATAATCCTATACATACATTCATAACAAACTAGTATTATGCAATATGAGTGTTGAAGAGAAAGCATCTTATTTAAGCTATATGCACACCTTTCAGATTTAAAAAAAAAAAAAAAAAAATCTTAACCTAACTTAAAATGCAATAATTTAACTTCAGAATGTAATATTATGAATAAAGCATTATAGTTAAATGTTTTGTATCAGTACACGCCATTTCCTTACGAGTCCATATCCAGCCTTTATTTTTACAACGGTTTGTTCTAGATGTATGCTTCCAGTTGCAGAAACATTATAAATGATGCAAATATTCATGTTTAGGTATTTTTTAAAACACAAAAGGTTTGGTTCCTACATAACAAAAATTGACAGAAATATTGAATTTTAAAATTTGTGATTTTTGGTATAATTTTCAATGTGCCTCGAAGCATCAGTTGATAAATAACTTTGAATAATTCAAGATAGTTTTTTCGCCTTAAATGTCAACTACTGATATTCTTTGGCGATTTAGCAATGTATAACAATCTGAAATAAATAATTTTTTACACATAGTATTCTAAAAGAATTTACACAAATACTAGAAGTTTTAAAACATTAAAAATTTGTTCTTAATATTCTCATGCAGTTTTATTACTTTAGAATCATAGTCTAATAATCAAATAAAAAATGTATTAACTAGATATATTTTTAATGTATGAAAATAATATTTTGAATTCATTGTGTGACAAAACTGAAGTCTGCCAGTCTTTCCAAGAACACAAATCCTGTAAAATACTATGAATAAGATTTTTTTGGATGGGGGGGGGAATATATAGCAATCAAATACTACTCATGATAATCAGCATAGACATTCTCGTCACTTAATTTATTAACATCAAAAACCTATTTCAAAATTAATATTTTATTTTTAGTTATATAAAAAAAAAAAAAAAAAAAAACTTTCTTCAATTTCTGTATGGCCCCGTATTATGGTTTCCAGTTTTAAAACTAAATATCTTGGTCAATCTGTGTCATATGGGAGTCACACTTTTTGCACTTTATTTTTTATAATGAATATAAAATTTTCCTAAATATAAGAACCCAAAAAAACATTAAAAAAATTTTGATTTCATATTTTACAAAATCTATTTCTTTTTTTAATTTAAAAAACTGCAATAATACACATACAGTAAATACCTTATGACTGTCACCCAGTTAACAGGCAATATCAAAATAATGGCCTTTTGCAAGTCTAAATTTAAATCCGAAATTTGGACATAGTTCTAATGTTTAGAAGAGAAAGTATAAAATAAGAGAGTATGTGAGATAAGAAAGTATGTAATGGGTTATCAATCTGAAGATTTAAATCATGAAAATATTTATATTATGATTATGCTGTCCAATATAACAAGCCTTATGCAACTAGTGAATCAAGGAATTATTCAGAATATGAAAATGAACTACTCATTCATTTCATCAACATATGGCACAAGTAGCTTAACTCTTGTCCAGCCATTCTTATCTTATCATATCTAATCACCATATCATATCTTGTTCATTTGCACTTTGGCAGCTAAGGACGATGGTTCAGTAAAACCATAGAAACTAGTTCTGTGAAAATTTGCAAATACAGTCAAAAGTCTTTAATCTGGACATCCATAATCCGGAATGATCTATAATCCGGACCTCAAAACTACAAAACTTTCTGCCATGCACTTACGCATGCACATAATACCTTTACGCATGCACATATTACCTTTATGCATGCACATAATTATGTTTACGCATGCGTGTTTAATGTATAACGGACGGTATAAGCTAAGCTAAAATTATTTGATTATCTATTTCAGTTAATGTTCCAGATTGCGTTCTTCCTTAATCTTTGAATTGCATACGGCTTATTATTTTTTGTAGACTGTTAGAGCAATTTTATAAAAGTAAGCTTGAAACTAGATGTTCATAAAAACAATAGCCTCCTGTAATTGTAAATATTAAAATTTAAGAATAGGAAATTACAATATTTTCCAACTGGTGTTTTGAAACCCTATGACAAATTTTTGGTTTTAAAACTACATTTCATAGCATTCAGAAACATTCATATAAAAATATGTTATACATTTATCATGGACCCGCTCATACATTTTACTTTGATAGCAGGCTGTGATAAATTATCAAAAGCTGAAAAAATGCTAGGTTTACTCTTCCTGC